CGCCCCCAGATGAATACCACTGCTCCAGGGATGATGAACATTGTCATTATTGTTCCAATTGTGTTCCGTGTTCTCTGTGAGAGGAACATCTGCAGGTTTGGGGTAATTTTCACAGGAAACTGAGCCCTTATGCTACAAAATGTTGGACTTTCTCTTTGAAGTGACCAGTGGCATTGCAGAATGACAATGTTGAAATGTAATCAAAAAGCTGTTTAGGGCTTCTAGGTAGAGTCCCAAATCCTCCAGATTATATTAGTTCATAACATCAGATAGTGTTGGGTCTTTTCTGGTTGACAAATTGGATTTTTTTAAAGCAAGGCAATTGGATTTATAATATTTAGGATTAAAGGGGAGAATGAGGGGAAAATTATTTTCTCTTGCCCTTAACTGAATTTTAGAGAGTCTGTTTGGAAGAGCAAGTTCAATGTTAGGCAGAATGTGTGAAGACACCTCATTAGGACCGATGTAAAAACAGACTTAAGATGCTTGGAGACTCAAAGAACAATGACGTGTAATGGACTCTTTAATACATTTTTTTAGTTGTAGATGGACAGAATACCTTTATTTTACTTATTTTATGTGGTGTAGAGGATCAAACCCAGTACCTCACACATACAAGGCAAGCACTTCACCACTGAGCCACACCCCCAGCCCTGCAATGCACTCTTTGCTCAATTTTATGTGTCAACTTGGCTGGTCCGTAGAGCCCAGATATTTGGTTAAACATTGTTCTAGATGTTTCTGCAAGGGTGTTTTTGGATGTGGTTTACATTTAAATTGAAGACCTTTGTGTAAAACAGATTCCCCTCCATAAAGTGGTGGACCTCCTCCAATCTATTGAAGGTCTGAACAGAACAAAACCCGCACCCGCTGCCTGAGCAACAGGGGATTCTGCAGAAGAGAGCCCCAAGACTTCACTGCAACACATTTCTTCCCGGGCTGCCAGCCTGCCAGCCCACCCTGCAAATAGAGAATTTGCCCAGTCTCCATAAGATCATGAGCCAATTCTTTAAAAAAAAGTTTCTGTGTGTGTGTGTGTGTGTGTGTATGTAGTCACATGCCACTAAGGACAGGGATACGTTCTGAGAAATGCATCCTTAGGTGATTTTGTTATCTGCAAACACCTTAGAATGTACTACACAAACCAAGATGGCGGCCACATCCCTACGCTATAGAGTCTTATAGGCCTACCACTGTATATGTGGCCTGTTGTGGAACAAAACATTGCTGTGAGGTACATGACTGTCTATCTACAACATCTTATTGGTTCAGGTTCTCCAGAGAACCCTGACTAATATAACCATTCCAAGGACATTTCAGGTACTCAAAGTTTCATGGTTTGCCACCGTCACCCACTCACCTCCCTGTTCTTCAGGAGCATACGGTTATAGAGGCCTCCTGGGAGTGTTACGAAATGCCTGGGGTTTTGTTTTGTTTTGTTTTTATCCTGCAGAGGCCAGCAGGATGCCAAGTCTTGGGGGAAAAAACTTTACTTTGAGTTTGTTAAAAGAAGCATTTAACCAGCGCAGCATCTGTGGAGTCAGGAAATATGCAGAACAGTGGAAGAACACCATAGGCTGTCCAGGCAGGAGGCAGATGTTTTGAAAATAATTAATTCATTACAAACCTGCTAGGTCGACAATATCTGCCTTTCCCCACAGTCCCTGCCCGTTCTCTGGCTGTCTGAGCTCAAGGCTCCTCCCGCCCAGGCTGTGCCCTCCCCTTGGCTGGAGGTCACTCCCATGTCTCCATTGCCAGGGCTCTTGAAAATGCTGGGCACATCTCACCCTGTAGCTTTGCGGCCGTGTGCGCATGGGTGCTTACCTGACGCCTGAACCTGGGCTTAGGGAAGAGCCAGGACTGGTTGCATAGTTCTGTGCGAGTGTTTGTGCCCTTTCAGTCAATATTCGAGCTTGTGACACAAGACTTGATCCTCTGGCTCATGACCTTGCACCAGCCCACCCTGTTGGTAACCACGCCTAAGTGAAGTGGATTTTTTTTCCTCCAAGGTCTGTCTCCGGTCACTGTTGGAGGAAGTCCTAAGATTGGCTGGAACAACTCCACTTGCGGTCCATTCTATTCTCAGTTCAGTCTTTCAAGGCTCAGCCAGTTTTGAACCACCTTCAGCTGGCCCTGTGTGGTGCATGCTCTCATCTTCTCCTTGCCTCTTCTGCAGAATGAGAGGCTCTGCCGAGAGGCTGAGTTTGTGCTTCTGCAATGGGTGCCATTAGCTGTCCTCTTCCTGACCTCAACACCATTTCCCTGTGTCCACATCTGCTTCTGTCCCCCTCATCTTCCCCTCAAGGGGAGGCTCATGAGCTATGGGAACCAGGGGCAGACAGCTCTCTGTAAAGGGGGGCATCTGCCCCTTTGCGCCCCCTTCTAGTCTTCTCTCTCCACTCCTGAAGATGGCTCTGCTTGGTGACCAGGGACACTGCCATGAACGGAGCATGGCAGGTGCAGTGATGGAAAGGTGATTTACTAAAGGAACAATTAATGGACTGGTGTGGCCAGGAATTTAGCAAGAGGTTGGTGCCCTGGGTTGACTAGTGTCCTCCTCCCAAAATATTCAAGCACTGACTCCCACTGCCTGTAGATGTGACCTCATTTGGAAGTAGGGTTTTTGCATTTGTAATTGGTGAAGATGATGTCACATTGGATCAGAGAAGGCACAAATCTAATGACCGGTGTCCTTTGGGACATTTGGACATAGACACACAGAGAAGGGGATGGCCATGTGACTGCAGAGTCTGAGATGAGATTTATGTTTATGCTCTGAGCCAGAAAATGGCAAAGGTGGCGGCTGCCTGAAGCTTGATGGTGGGAAGGAGCCCCTCTTGTGCCTTCAGAGGGAGGACAGATGTCCTGCCAGCACCTTGACTTTCAACATCCAGACTCCAGAATGGGCAAAGGACGCGATTCTGTTGTTTGGAGCCACTCAGTTTGTGGCTCTATTATGGCAGCAGCAGGGAACCAATGCAGGGACAATGGTATTTCTCAGTGCCAGGGAAACCCCCGGGGTCAGTCCCGTCCATGTCTGATGTGTGTGTGGTGCTTCCATCCACCACTGCGTATTGATGGAGAATATCGACTGCCCCATGATACAAAATGAGCAAGACCCTCAGCCCTGTCCCCAGGAGGCAGGACACACACATACAAACAGCAGCTTCCAGAGGCAGCAGGATGTGAGGGAGAGGGCTGTAGGGAGTTGCACTGTGTGATAACGGCCACACCCAAGCTTGGTCCATCCTGACCTTGCAGCTTCCAGGGAGAAAATTCCAGGGGTCCCTCCCAGCTCAAACTCAGACTTGGTCCTGCACCTCTGGGTTGTCTGCCTCCTGGTCTCCTCTGGGAGACCTTCTCACGCAGGCAGATGTTTGGCATATAACAAAGAACCAGCTACCGACCACCACCTCTAGGCTTACTATGAGTGATTCTCTTTAAAATCTGTTCCCAATGGGCCTGCTCAGCACAGGGCCAGCCCAGTTGCTGGGCCCAAGTAATACATTTCCACCAACTATATTAAGCTTTTCCATGTTTTGCCAATCTCAGTAGATGATCACGCTCCAGTTGCCAGGTGTTCGACAGTTCAGATCTGTGACTGGGAAATGATTTTTTGAAAAATATTCATCACGTATGCACATTTGTATTTCTACTGGAACCACCTGGCAGCCCCAGGAAAATGTAAAAGGGAATCTCTGAGATGTGAGAGAAACAAGCCATGAGAATTGATGCGGGAGCTTTATTAGAATCTCTATTATTCTTGCAGTCGGCGATTGATAAACTCATTCAGAAAAGCACTTGCTTTCAGGGATCTAGAGTCCACAGTCGCGTGTGCAATCTAGCTTGGAGTTTATGGAACGTGCCTCTGGAAAAACTGGCGTGCCTCTGGCGGCAGGAGGTCCTTTCAACAAGACAGGGGCAGGCTGCTCCTGTGGCGTGTTCCATGGCAGTACTGCCAGCCAGGCCTGGGTCTCCAGAGACACCCTCTGTTCATACCTACGTTTCAGCGATTAAGAAATATGAAATCGGCAACGTGGGCCTTGAGGGTTAGGCCCTGGCATCCCAGGAAACAGGGAAGAGGACAAGCTGACCTGACCACCTGGCACACAAGCCTGGAGAAGGTACCAGAAAGGCTGGTCACATGAAGGATGCCCACAGTGCCACCTGGACCTGCAGCAGACTCCACTGCTGGTGGGTGGGACGGTCAGGCACACCCTCTCCTGAGCAGCGCTCCAGAAGCTTCTAATGTCTGCTTTTTTTGGAAAAGCAGAGCACACCATAGCCTCAAGACAAGGACTAATTTAGAGCATCTGGGAGCAGGAGACACGTGTAGAAACTGCACAATCTGATGTGCCCAAGTGAGGGTGGGTGTGGGCGGATGTGTGCCTGGGTAGGAGGGATTCTGGTCTCAGGGAGACAGACCACGCTCGGGGGGGACGTGGTGATCCCTGGGGAGGCAAAGGGCAGGCCTCGACCCCGTCTCTCATGCTTTCAGCTCTTGTGTGAAGCACCCCAGAGCTAGCTGTGTCCTCCTCCACCCTGGAAGGTGGTCACCTCCAGGCCAGAGCAGCCCTAGAGGTGACTGCTGAACCTTGAGGTCTGTCTCCTTCTTCCCAGAGCCTGGACTGAGACGATCTCACTGGGCAAGTGCTCCTGGGATCTCCCTGCCCACGACCTCAGCACAATGGCCTCTGGAAATAAAGAGCCTTTTCAGAGCCGACCGCTTTCCTTTGAGTCCTGTGATGCTTGGGTACCTTGTACTGAGACCCTTGTTGCCCATGGGGGGATTCAGTGTCAGGTGCCTGCTCAAAGGCCCTCCCTGAGACCTGCCAGTCCAGCCCTTATGTCATACCCTCCCGTGGCCATGCAGACTGTTACGTTTTTACTAAAAAGCATGAAATGGTTGCGCTTTTCCTTAACCTTATTGAATCTTGCCACACTGTGCCCTCTTGTTCTCAGGACCACAGGCAGGACTCCAGAACACAGCGAAGACAGAATTAGGCTAAAGGGTGAAGGACTTCATTTTACTTGGGTCTCAGCAAATTCTGCTAATGGCACTTCTGGGGGAGGGTGCGAGGATCTTTCAATGACATCCCACCAAGACTCCTAGAACACATTTGGGGTTTGAATGTTTCTAATTTTAAATATGGAAATTTAAGACAAAGGAAGGGGTGCTTGGATTTGTCTTAGATTTCCCAGGTTGAGCAGCTCTTGGAGAAGGTGCTGGGTCTCCACTGGGGAGGTCACAGGGAAGTGAAGCCAGGTCTGCTGGGGTGTCGGGGTGCAGGTGCTCCTTCACTTGCGAGGCTGCTGGATGTGCTGGGTCCTGGGGGAAGGGTGCTTGTCTATGGAGGCATGAGGCTTCTGGTGAGCCACCTGTGCAGCCGCTGGGGGGAAGTCCTTGTCACCCTGTCGGAGACACAAATGAGCCACTGTGAAAGGGTGGGCTAGGTGCCAGGGCCCCACACCCAGCGTCCACTGGTTTCCTGCAGGGAAAGCAGAGGCTGAGGGGCAATGGGGCAGTGACCTCTCAGCAGCGAGGAGCCCCTCTCCTGTGGCTGGGGGCCGAGGCTCTCAGGGGCCCTCAGGACCAGGGGCCGGGAGGGGGAGGGCAGCACAGAGACTGTGTTAGCTGGCTCTGCCCCAGGCCACGAGACAGATGCACAGCAGGACTCGCTCTGCCCTGAGCTGGGTGCTGGCAGCTTCCCCTGCTAGGTCTTTGTGATCATATCCACATTAGGGGCGAAAGGACCAAAACCTGAGCCTCAGATTTGCCATCATGGCTGTGGGCTAGGCCTGGGTGCTGGTGGGGAAGGAAAGGCACAGGAGAAGGGGCCTGGCTGTTTTCCAGGGGTGGGGGGGGGGTCAGTTGGCTTCTTGCACCAACAGCGGGCTGTGACGGGGCTGTGCTTGGTGGAGCCTGGCCACGGGGTGGCCTCACACTGGTGCTGGTGTGGCAGACATGTCTGTCTGTCCCGGGGTGTCTGGATGGCTGTGGCTACAGCTCCACCACAGAGCCGTCCTCACTAGTGGCGGGACCAGGACCTGGATGTGTGGAGAGCAGCAGAGCCCAGGTGGCACTATGGAGAGAGCCCGCAGACAGGCAGAGTGTAGTCTCCCAGATGAGGGGGATTCGAAGGGTTAGGGTGCAACTGAACCATGGGTTTAACTCAGCAGAGGGCAGAAGAAAGAGCCATCGCTAGGACGTAGTGGACGACGTAGCTATGTGCCACTAAAGCTATTCATGGACACCAAGTTGTATTTCTTAAATTCTCTTATGTCGTGACATGATTCTTATGTTGATGTTTAAAGTCATTTAAAAATGTGAGCACACTTTTAGCTGAGGTCACTGAAGAACGCCTGCCCCGGGGCATGGTTTCTGGAGCCCTGGCTGTCTGCAGAGGGCAGGGGCAGTCAGGTCCCCTCGGCGGCAGAAATGTGCTGCATGAAGGAAACGGGACAAAAAAGAAAGTAACAGGCCCCAGGTGTGGGGCGGGGGCGGGGGTGCGCAGCGCTGCGGGTTAGTCTAGGAGGGGTTCCCAAGAACCAGCATTGGGAGGCGGTGCGATGCTCCCATCTGATGCACAGCGTGGGTGCTGCAGGTGCCGCAGGGCGGGCGGGTGAGCTTACCCGGGCGATGACTCCCGAGATGAACACGGTTGGCTTAGGCGGGCTGGAAAACAAGGAGGGAAAGGCGGGTTTAACAGGCAGGCCACAGAAGGCGACATGCAGCTGGAACGACGGAGGCTTCGGGACTGAAAAGGCCCAAGGAGGATGGGAGCAGACCCCTCCCTGGGTGCTGGTGTCCACAAGCACTAGGTGGTGGGGCTCTAAGTCTGAAGGCCCTTTGGAAAGGCTACCAGGAAGCTTTGCTCTGAAGTGAGTCCAAGCAAAGAGTGAGAGAGGAAAACAGGTGGCAGAAGACACAGCCCCAAAGAACTTCTTTTGGCTTGTTTTTCGGTCAGTCCTCAGGTTCTCACTGTGAGGAAGCGGGGCAGTTCTGATTTGGTGGGACTGTGCAAACAGGGAAGTAGCTTGGCTCTGGGGTGAATTTCCCTCCCTCTCCACCAGGGGCTTCCCTGCCCAGTGTCCCCATGGAGTCCATGAGTTCCAGAAACTTCTAACCAGTGAGACCCCACAACCGATGCAAATTCCTGGCACCTGTGGACCACCAAGCATCATGGACTCAAGGTCCTTATGATGGCAGCTATCACTTTTTCACCTGTAAATTAATACCCATCTTCCCAAACTGTCAACGGTATTGAGAGGGCAGAATATGGCACCCTAGTAGCATATGATCCTTCATGAAGAGGAGACAAACCAAAGCGTGTTGGTGATGACCACTGTTAACATGCGGTCCCTGTCTGTGGACAGATGCACATGCTTTTCTTAATAATTTGAACCTCCAGCTGCCCTGGGAGCCTCTCAATGAGATGGTCCCATCATGGCTGCTTAGTGGCCTTCAGACTTAGGGCTGAAGCAGAACTTAGCAGTAGGAATGACCCCAGTCCAGTCATCCCAGGGCTGTCTGCGGGAGCACCCACAGGAGGCCACTCCTCGGGCCTCTAGCCCAGCCAACACACCCCTGCCCACCTGCTGAGGTTTAGCTGCCCTTTGGCTCTTACTCATTAAGGGAGACAGTCAGTGAAACTGTAAGGAACTCAGAGTAAAGAACATGCTCTGACAACAATCAGGTGACAGTGGAGAGGGAGGTTCCATGGGTGCAGCTGCGCTGGGTACGGCCAGCTTTGTGTTATGTTCTGCACAATGTGGCTAGTTAGGCTTCGGGGAGGGAATTTCTGGATCATTATACCTAAATTGATGGACACTTCTGGATTAGGGAAGAGAGGAGGGGACAGATAACAGGGTTCCCACAGTAGTGGCCTCCCACAGGGTGGGGATAGCCCTTTGGAAAGGAATCCGGAAATGGTAAATATTAAGCACCACAGAAGTAAATATTAAATTTTCATATTGAATTATCATTAAATATTTTTAAATGAGTAAATACTGATGAATAAAGAAGTAAAAATTCAAGTATCACCTTTCAAGCCTACTTTGGGGATATATGTCTTAAAATGTACACTGCCTATCTGTGTGCATCCAGATCACACATGATGGGCACCCATCGGTAGCGATGGGCATGCATCAAGAGCATCACGCAAGCTCTCCCGTCACCGGAGCCCACCAGGGCTCCAGGGAGTCAAGTGGACTGGAGGGAGGGCAGGTGTGTGCACGGTGTCTGCCACAGTGGCTCAGGAAGTGGCTGCAGCCACACCAACCCTGTGTTTCAGTGTTGCAGCCATGGCAGGCCCTGTTCACCCTGTTGGGGTTGGTGTTTGAGACTGAGGAGTGGTCGGCGTGACTCAGGGTCTGATGGCCACAGTTGAAGGGATGAAGTACAGAAAGGGTGTGGACCTAACTTATGTGCTCCCCTGAGGGCTGATTCTGGTCTGTAGCAGGGACAGTGATGGGACTGGGGGATGAGCTGTGTGCAGAGCAGACTTTGGGTGCGACCTAAACACTGTACATTCTGTTAGACTAGCAGGCTCAAGGGTAGGGCATCAGTAACGCCTCCAAGGCTCCATCCTGCGTTGCTCTTCTCCAGTGCCTCTGTTTGATGCCAGTCAGAAATAAAGTAGTAAAAGAAATGAGGCTAATTCCTGCGTATGAGGCATGATCGCAGGCAAGGCTTTTACCTTAAGATGATACTTCAAAAATTAAGAATCGTGCTTGCACATGCAGAGCCTTCTAGTCACGAGGAGGAGACTGGGGGGTAGTTTAAACAAGGACCCCTGGTAAAGAATCGGGTGCACCGCTGTGCTTGGGAAACACTGGCACATTAGATTCCATCAGGGCCCGTGCCCAGGGTAACCTACTTTCCAGGTTCTATACAGTGTGAGAGCTGCTTTGAGGATTTATGTAATCTGATGAGATCGTTCTGACAGGTGTTGTTTTGAAGATGCACCATTATTCTCTCTCAGGAAACGGAGACAGGGAAGACTGTCCTCCCTTGTTCCCCGCACCCTCAGGCCTTGGCAGTCTCACCCAACACACTCACTGAACTCCAAGGCACTGCGAGTCAGTCAGTCTGGATTGGAGTCCTGGGGACACTTCCCAACATCAGCAGGAACTGAAGCTGTGCCACAGTGGGGACGAGGCAGTGCTGAGCCTGGTCCTGTGTCTCACTTGATAATGACCACATCAAACCCTCAACAGGGTCACTGGTCTTGACTGGTCTTCCCTGTTCCTTATTCTCTAAATTTCCTTGGTGAGCAAAGCTTGGCATTTTATGGACCTGCAGACAGACAGGATGAAGTGCCAGAAACAGCACTTAGGGAGTGGCGCCCTCCCACCCCAGAGAGCAGCTGACATCAAGACTGAGCTCAGGGACTCAGTTCCCCTAGAGTCCCGAAGGCTGAGAACCTGAATTCACATTCTTTTTTTTTTTTTTTTTTTAAGAAATAGTGTGTGTGTGTGTGTGTGTGTGTGTGTGTGTGAGAGTGAGAGAGTGAGAGAGTGAGAGAGAGAGAGAGAGAGAGAGAGAGAGAGAGAGAGAATTTTAATATTTATTTTGTAGTTTTCGGCAGACACAACATCTTTGTTTGTATGTGGTGCTGAGTATAGACCCGGGCCGCACGCATGCCACGCGAGCGCGCTACCTCTTGAGCCACATCCCCAGCCCAATGAATTCACATTCTTAAACTCCGCTGGACTCCAAAGCAGCAATGACTGAAGTCAATTCCAACACACTGTATTCATGCCCCACTTACTACCCTCTCAACATGTGATTAATAGATAAATCACCAGGAAGACTTTTGAGTGTTCTAGGACTTCACGAAGAAGATTTCCTTGTCAGTAGGGGTCCCCAACAACACGGCATTTCTGCCCCACCTCTGAGAGGTTCAAGCCACACCTCTGGCCTTAAAGGCCAGGTGGGAACTTAGGGCTGACAGGGGTGCTCTTGTGCTTCTGGAGGCCAAGGGTCTCTGGTGACATGAATTAGGGCTCCTGTACTCTGCCCAGAGGCCCTTCCCGGGTCTACCCTCTTCAGTGGGACAGCCCTGCCAAATTTGAGGAAGTCTGCCATGGCCTCTGGGACAAGCCCTCCCAGGCTCAGGGGTGGCTTCAAATTCCTTCACTCCTGCAGGCTGCCCCTCCCTAACGCATTCCAGTGTGGTTTCCAGCATCGCCCAGAACCTCCCCATGGCCCCACAGGTACCCACCCTGTCCTCACAGGGCACCCACATTGACACTGCTCTCCCTGAGCAAATGATTATGAAAGGACCCACGGCTAATAATTGTCACACAGCATGGCTACTGCTAGGCAGCTGTGCTCGGGGCGACCTACCTAGTGCCCTCTTCTCCTCAGCCAGTGGTGTGAGGTCCTCCTTCACCCTGGGGTGTGCTGCACCACCCTTGGAAAAATGCAAAGCCCTCACCACCCCAAACAGGATTCTGCACAGCAGGGAGGGTTCACTGCCCTTCCGACTGGTCAGCCTGTCCTTCCCAAGCATGCTGATAAGGACTGGGGTCGGGGTGCTACCCTGTGAGAGGATTTGGGGAGGGGGAGATGCACACCATGCACGCATGCACATCAGTAAGCCTGGAAACCCAGGTGCAGCGCAGGTCCTAGGGAAGGCCGAGATGGCGGCACGGGCAGAACCATTTTCAGGTTAGTAGTTTTCACATGGGTTCATTTTCTGCAAATGCTTTTTCCTATTCACATGGACACCTGCTAAAAGAGCCAGTGGAGGTGTTTCTTGGAAAAATGCAAAGCCCTCCATCACCCCAAACAGGATTCTACATAGCAGGGAGGGTTCACCTCTCCATTTTCCAGATAAGGATGATAAATCAGAGATGGTCAGTAATTTTCCTGAAAGCTATACAATAGCTAAGTGCTGGGAGCCAGACTTGGGACAAAGGCCATCCAGGGTACATGAGTGTGGCCAGGAGCCCCACCCCCTCATTTTAAGGGACCTCAAATTATAGGTCTGTCTTCTGTCTATGATTTAGAGTGCAGATAGTCATCTAAATGCAATATAAGAGTCTCTTGTTCAACCAGCTAGTACATTAAGTATATCTAAACATTCATTTTCTAATGTGAAATGAAGTTTTTTCTTAAAAACTATCATTTATGTCTGTAGCACTTAATTGGAATGCAGAATACTTCTGCTCACCTGAGTCTCCTCAGCAGGTGTGATTTCTATTTGAAGGAGGAAACGGAGGGTCAGAGGGCTTTATAAATGTGTTCAAGGTCCCAGGGACAGAGCTAGGGGACTCTCAGGCCATACTCTACCCACCTCATAGGTCTCTGTTCCCAGGCTTCAGGAATACAGTGTTTTCCTAACTGACTAGTCAAGATGCAGTGGTCAGGTTCACATGGAAGGACAGGAGGAAAGGTGGCAAACCCACACCTTCCAGGTGGGCTCTGCTGTCAGACATCTATGTTCAAATCTGAGTCTGCCAGGAACCAGCTGGTGGGTAGGTGCTTAGCCTTTCTGAGGCCAGGTTTCCTCCTCTGTGGAATGGGCTAGCAGCAGACCCTACCACACCAGGTGACTGTATGCTTATGAGTACACACACACACACACACACACACACACTGCTTAGCACACAGAAAGCACTCCATCAATGTTAGCTGTGGATGGTGATGATGACAATGACAACCCCACCCCACCCCACCCCACCTGTCCCATGCACACTGCCGTGCACATTCATGACGGGTCCAGCTTTGCTTCACTGGTGGATCCTACGGCCAGGGGTGGTTACTGCTTATTGGAACAGAAGGGTTTCCAAAGTAAGCAAAGAAAGGGCCTTGCAATCGCTGGACTGGATGTGAGGAAAATCTCTCCAGGCCCTTCCTCTGTTTGGCTTGAGGGTTTGACATGGTTTAGGCAGCAACTTAGCTTCCGAGCCCACTGAAGACAAGAAGAAACAAATGCAAGTGGCACGGTGGCCGAGCACCCTGAGAGCTGCCGGGGGCCCTGGGGAAGAGGGATGGAGGAGAGGGTGAGGGGCCTTCAGGGATGGGCCACCAGCTCCTCCTCCACTCCCACTTCCGATGCAGCCCATGAAACAGGGACAGAAGGAACACCACCACTGTTGACAGTGGTCAGTGGTGCATAGTGCCATCGGGGGCTGGGAAGGGGCCCGCCATGTGCCACTTCCCTCGCTTCCTGGTACAGAAGTAGTCAGTA